TAGAGCGATTTTCGTATGACCTCGAAATGAAAACGTGCTAACAAAACAGGAACAACAAACGAACGGAAATAGAGCGATTTGATTGGTTTATCGAACAGATACAAACGCACGCGGCTTTTGGTTGGTTGAGCGAACGCTCGGGTGAAAAAACTTCACGCCCCAGAACTTTCTAGAAATCAACCGATGCTTCGCTTTGACGTCATACTGCGACGTGACTGGCCAATCGAACAATGCCTTTTCACGTTAGGGTTTTCTTTGGCGGGAAAACGAAGAGGCCATGTTTTGACCTATTCATCCATTGGCTGATGAAACAAATAAGAAACACTTACCGAAACCATTTTTCAAGGTCATACGAAAATCGCTCTATCAATCTTGAGAACGAACTTTTTTATATATAGACGCTCATGTAGACCACAATCAGCAAAAAACGCTTTCAAAAAAATTAACCCCGAGATACCGAGGAGGAGATCTACAATCCCAGGGTCAATTTAATAAAACTTGTGTACAAGTGATTTGCGTTGTTTTCAAACTCTAAAACAATGGCTACACTTGTAAATTACACTAGTAAATATTTTATAATATTGACCCCTGGACAAAAGTCCCTAGGACAGTGAAGCATTATTCATAATTTCTGTAATTTCTGGGTGTCCTCGTAGAGCAGTGCAACTTTTTCGAAACTATCTTGCAGTTCTCCCTCCTCCCACCCTATTCAATGTAGCCTGCGTACAGACCCTCCACCCCTTTCCTTTCCCATACCGGGAAAAACCACGTGGCCTCCATACACGATTAGCAACGGGGAATTACAGACGCCTCTTCTCCGATTTTTACTGAGGGGAAGGGTGGTCTGTACACAGGCTATATTCAATGTTGAAACTCGGAAAAATTCCTGGATACTTCCGTTCAACGTTAGTTGTAGGGTGGGGGTGGGGCTGGCGCTGGGCTAGGGTGATTGAAATGAGCCCCACAGATTCAAATTTTTTCCAAGACTCTTGCACTTGATTGTATTTACAGTAAACAGTAAACTTGCCTATTAATGATCACTAGCCACTTCTCCATTACGCACCTGTCAAGGATTGAACAAGGGTATTATTTGGTAAACACTTCATGTATGTGCGCATCTGCTGCATCATGGCATCACTTTGTGATGGTTATGATAAGTAAACTACATCTCACTCGCGTTTGATCCTGGACACAACACCTACTGTCCTTATAAATTTATACCACCACGTTTTCAATATAAAGGCCTTCAAAAAATGAGGAAATGATCGCCATAGGTGGTGATGTATACACAGTTTCTTATTAGTACCATGTGACATATCTGTAGAGGCAGGAGAACTTACATACTGATATATAAAGTAAAAGACAGAAATGATCGCAGCCTACAGTTGAGGAAATGATCGCCATAGGTGGTGATGTATACACAGTTTCTTATTAGTACCATGTGACATATCTGTAGAGGCAGGAGAACTTACATACTGATATATAAAGTAAAAGACAGAAATGATCGCAGCCTACAGTCTACCGATATTAAAACGCTCTATAAAGAGACAAACAAGAACCCTTTCTGTTAAGCCATAAGCCAAGCTTAAATTTTATTCATTTATTTATATCACATTTTGAAGGTGTGTGACCAAAAGTTATCTTTAAGATCCAAAACCGGTTTAGTTTCCCACGCAGCCGTTTTCGTCTTGTCACACAACCCGTGCAGGAGCGTTGAGGGACGAGATAAAATCGGATGCGTGGAAACTACATCGGTGTAACAAATATGTCTGCGAGAGTTACGGGGCGAAAATCTGTCGAATATGCTGTTCAGTATAACTTAAAACTCATAAGGGGTTGTTCAACCCCTTATGAGTTTCTGGTATAACTATATATTTTATTTTAATTGAATCTCTTTTGTTATGTAACAAAAACACAGAACATAACACCAAGCTCATTAAATATGATAAATAGCTCTGCGATAAAATATTCAATATTAAGATTATTTAGTCTTGTCTGCTACGGAAAAGAAGACAAAATATTTTGAGAGTGGGTAACTGTGTGAAAACGTAATCTTCATCTTCACTATAAACAGTAAGGGGAACTTTGCCGGCTTTAAAAACTTTAACGGAAATTTGTACAATTTTGATTTTGTACGAGCTCAGTCTTACTAATTTTATTATTGCTCGAAACTCGATCGTATAAGGAATTTAACAACCAACAGTGCCTAAATCGTCCACTTATTTCTCAATGACTACAATTTCTCAGTTTCGAATGTAGATTATCATATTTGCCTTGAAACTACGACAGAAAAAATCTCGCTGGAAATCGAACAAGCCCTGCTACTTTCACCTGAGAAAAACGGAAAACAAACAGTACCAAACAGAAAACGAACACTGAAAAGCAGCGGTCACTCATTGAGAAGACCAAGAAGATTAAGCACTATAATATATACGACTTTAAGCTTACCTTGGGTGATAAAGACCAGCTAGACGACACTAAAAAGCGGAATAAAATAACGAGCTTTTCAATTATTCCATCGAGCTACACAGTCACATATATCAGTTTCAAGGGATTTTTCACTTTCTAGTGATTTTTTCTCATTCACTGGTACTCCGGTTGTTTCTTTAAATTTGAGACTTTTGTGATCTTTGCTGTGATCTGGAATTATTTTGTGATCCCTTTCAGAGCAACATCTTCACTACCACTCAACGTGGCCTTTCATTTGAATGGTCACACGTTATGTTTTCATCCACAGACTCAAACCATAGAATCACCTTGTACAGCGTAATAAACACTACTACAGGAAAGTACTGCCTAGTAGCTTTCATTTGAATGGTCTTTCGAAAACTGAAAAACTAAAGCCACATGAAAGCTTCTGTTGGGAAATTTTGTCGCCACCATGGGAAATTACATGTTTTATGAAGAGTTACTCTACTCGCGCGAGAAGCACGCGTCTCTCGGAAAGGGATTTTCTCTTTATATCAAAAAAAAATATTGATATTAACTTTCGATTCTAGATTATGCGACGTTTTCTTACATTTCTTTAAATTTACAAAGTAACTCTTAAACAAGGAATCAGTATTACCTTAAACAGAATTACCTTAACAAGTGTTATCTAACTACCAGCTTTTAATTTTGGAGGGAAGCCTCCATTTCGCCTCGCCCTTATTATTTTCTCAGTCTCTGGGTGAAATTCATGAAGATGCTTCATGAAATCTGCGTTTTCTGTAAAAGTGCTTCCACAGTCTTCACAGACAAACAGTTTCGATCGTCTTTCGCGGAAGCCAAACTTGTGCACGATGCCATGCACGCGAGTGAGGTGCGCTTCAAGAGAGCAGCGCTGTGTGAATGACTTGTCGCATCGGTTGCACTTAAATGGCTTTATTCCCGTGTGTGTTCTTATATGTCGCTTCAGATCAAAAGTGTCATTGAAACCTTTGGTGCAGAACTGGCAGTGATAGCGCTTGTAGAAAGAATGAGTCTTCATATGACGATTCAGAAGCCGCTGCAGTGTAAAAGAACTGTTGCAAATTTCACATTTGTACTTGGTTTCTTCACCTTCACTGGCCTTGTCCTGTTCCTTGCTCTGAAGGTTTGAAAGGCACTCCTGCTGTTGGTGAGCCGTTAAAAACGGATGACCGTGAATAAAAAAATGATTGTTATTGAACTGCGGACTGGGCGTTGGCTGTGGAATGTTTGGGCACAAGGACGACTCTCGATGATGAATTTCCGAAGCATGTCGAAGATTTAACGATACTTCACGAAGCCCGTCCAACGATGCACGAACGGGTATCGAATCAGCAATGGCAGAAAGTCGATGATCATGAAAGTTTACAACGCCATACCCATTGGCGGTCAATGGAAAATGGTGTCTTTGGCTCATAGTAATGACGGCATGATGTTCGGGTGATCGAGAATTGTGCATCTTTGATAGACCATTCCTTCCTGAGCTGATGAGTTTGGGGGGTGGAGGAAGGTTTTGAAGTTTATATCGCGAGCTTATTCCCTGCCACCAACACAAATCGTCGAGCGCTTCTGAGCGATCAATTACTTTGTCTCGCTTTGCATCAGCTTCTCTGAAAATTCTCTCACTTTCACTCTGTAAACTGGGAACAGAAATCATCTCCTGGTCTAACTCCTTGCTCTGTAAAATGCCACTGTTAAAATCAACGTTTCTTTCCTCTTCTTCCTTTGTAGTTGAGTTTTCCCCGTCTGATTCTTCTGACGACGTAAGAGTTCCATCTAAAAAGGCGAGAAGAAAATCATTTTTTAATTTGGCGTTTGTGAAATCCAGACAAATACTAACTGCATCTCGGAAGTGAACTAAATAAGGGCAGAATTTTTGTAGCATTCCAAAGCCTTAGCATAGAAGTTTATGAATCATGAATAAACTCGAAAAAGCAGTTATTTAATAGCCTACTTTTCTTCATTACGTCAAACAGGTTTGGTCTGGTCTCGTCTTCAAGAAATATGGCTCACTTAACTAAACTGATTTTTATCATAAAGAAAGAAAGAAGCCATTGAAGACTTCGAGAAACAGTGTCTTAAAAATCATTGAAAAAACTGAGGACTACTCATAAACAAAAAAGGAAAAAAAAAATTGGGGTTCGTAAAAAATTCACCGGGACAAGTTGCTGAGCAAACAAGAGTTTAGGGTGTCGCCCGTGGAAGGAATAAAAATGACAATATTCAAGCAAGCGTGATAACCTGTATGACAAATTGACCGGCCGAGTGTTTTGTCCCTATGGTTTTAATAAGCTCACAGTTCAAACTCGCTTCGACGGGTAGTTTTTTTCAATAGTTTTAAAGATATTTCTGGGCAAATGAAATATATCATGAACAGGCGCCAACTGCAATTTATCGAAAAGAAATCTTGAAGGAAGAAAAAAGAAGTGTAGGACATCTGCTTTATCAAAGAAAAAAATAACGAAAGCAAAGGAAGGAAAAAGAATAAATGTAACTACAAAAACTACTTTGATAATTTTGCCTTCTTTGCTGATTGTTAAATACTGAAAATGAATATAGGGCAACCTGCACAGGAAAGGAGGAGAAATGATTATGTTTCATTTATTTTCAGTTTGCAATCGCATACAATCCGCACGTGTTCTGTGATTAAAAGGGCACAATAAAACAACCAGTAAAGGTGAACCATTCTGTCGCGTTCCGTTCACTTTGCGTTATTACTTTTACACAAGCTACCCGCGAAACACTTTACACTTTTCAAATGTTGACAGTAAAAGAAACTAATATTAAAGCTTCTTATGAATCTAAGACGCAAATTAAGAGAAACAGAAGGACAAACTGCTTGCTGACTTGTATCATGTTTCGGTGCCACGTTTTTAGAATATCATATTTTGCGGTTAGAAAGAAATCTATCGAATTGTAAAGTACGAACCTTCTTGTTAATCACAAAGCATTGAGTGACTGGGTCTCTCAGAATTTCAACCTTGTTTCTTAATTCCCAATTATCTGTTATCTTATCAAAGTTGCTTTCGAAACTTCTAGTTTTATCGTAAGAGGGAACGTTAATTTCTTTCATCAGGATCAGACCACAAAACGTTCCCATCCATTTTGTACCGATTGCATTGTTTTTTACTAGTTCAAACATGACGCAAAATTTTCCACTAAACTTTTCAAAAAGGTCTTCACCTTTTGGCAATAAAATATATATATATATATAAATTTCAAGACAAAAATTCAACTTTACTGACAAGTTTTAAAAGCTGGGTATCGGCCACTTGTGCCAAGTTACGATCGTGTTACATTAAAGGCACAAGTTTGTACTTCAATCCCGAGTAACAATAGAAGCGAAAGTGGAAAGCTGAAACGTAAGTTTATCCAAGGCAAAAAGTAGTACTTTTTGGTCTAGAATTGTTTTCCCGGCAAACTTGAACAATATTCATAAGCACGAACAGGGCGAGGAATCGGAATTTCGGCAAGCTAAGTAATTTAGAAGTACTTATTTCTGCCACTTCTAATAACTATTACAGGTGCGAAAGGAAATTGTCATCTTGTTTTTTTTTCGTTGTAGAGAAATTTTACAGAGAGTGAAAGGCACAGTTAAAACGAGACCAAAATAATCATCGATATTCTGATTTTCATAGTTGGTGCAAAAAGAAAATCGGCTGCTTCCAACTTCATTTTAAGGGTGAAAACAAAACACATAAATGAATATACATATATATCGTTTTCCCATAAAACTACAGAAGCAAAGCAAACACTCCTTAAGTACGTGGATTTATTTTTCATGTAATAAACACTGCATGGTTTTACTTTCTACGATCAACTTTCGCGGAAAAGATTTCGATTCTGTGCCATATTTCAGGTGATAAAAGATTACATCTTGTTCTTCGCAAATTAACTTTTCGCCGTAGATAAACTCGATACTCCTAACGAGTCTGAGTCCTTATCGACTGTTCAAAGAGTAAGTTAAAAGGAAATGTATGATTACAGTTAAAAGAAAAGTCTACAAAATGGTAATAAACAGAATTCAGTCAAGGAAACTGACAAAATTACGCGTGGTTCTTAAGTAGCTTACTCGACAGCTTTTCAAACAGAGTAAACAACCGGGGCAAAAAATATGAAATGTCGAGTTTTCTAACATCTTAGACAAAGATTTTATTTTATGGAGAGCACGAGTTTTGCTCACACAATAAAGCCATAAAATCATATTGTGCTCACTTCTTTATCTCATTGACAGTGATTATCTTAAGTTGTGACAACACAGGAAGAGAATTTTCCGCTCGGTTCACGGTAATTTTGTAATCTTGCATTTCGTTGAACAAACTTGTTCAGTGATAGCCCGGGCGTTTCCATCTAACTTTCAATTCTCTTCTATGCAATTAAAGCTGGCCTGCCTCGCAGTAATTTCATTAATTCAGACACCTCGCAGAAAGACAAATTTATTGAATTAAAAGCCCAGCGATGTTCTCAATCAAAAAGTGGTTTATTAAAAGCAATCTCTCACCTAGTGCGAATCTTTACAAACACACTGGCGAAAATTAAAATTCTATTAGCCTCTAGCCTCAAAATAAACGCGAGTCAAAACGTTCTAAAATCTACAAATGTGCGCGCGAAAAGTTTGACTATATTTGATCTGTTTCTACGAAACCACGACTCTCGCTTTTCATTTTAGAAACTGAAACATCTTACTATAAATGTAGTTTGGTATTAGAGTCAGCGATATTATAACGCGGAACCTTTAAAGGCACTTAAGTGTTTTACTTTGCAGAAAGCCTTTGATCGAAAGGCATTTAATGTAAGGGGGTTAAGTAGAGCTTCTGTCAAGATCGAGACCAAGGAAAGTACGATTTAAAACACGGAACATCTGCTCAGTTCTCGTCACCTCAAATGCACTCCGCTCTGACCGAGACGGCGGCTTTTTTTGGACCTAAAATTTTTGCCGTTTCGTTAAGTGTTTTGGGGTCTTGTCTTGAAGACTCTGAAAAGCTGCTTAAAAAGGCGTGGAAAATGCACAGGGGAAACAACAAAAGTGCCGACGAAGTTTTTGTTTTTGAAAATAATGCGTCTAAACATGGCAAAATTGACAAGTGGAGAATCGGTTTACACGTCATTTGGCAAACCACGAAAAATGGACAGCATTTGAAAGGTCTCGCATTTTAAGTGATGGGAATTTACATAAATTTAAATTAACCATAATTGTTACGACTGAACTGATCGATTTCCAGCACTAATTTTCACGTAAATTTTCTTGCCAAGGTGAGGTAAATGTTTACTACAGCCTTGAAAAAACCTAACGTTGAAGCAACTCTCTTGAAAAAGATTTATACAAGGAGAATAATTTTGTTTAACGGAAAGGCTCGCGAGGCTTCCCAAACGCTATACAAAATCTTTATTGTATATCAATTGATGTATCCATTAGGGCTTTTGTGAGATGGCGTTTATCACTACACAGAGCAAAATTTGAATATGAATGAATCAATGATCTGCATTGTTGAATTCCTTTTCGTTGATTATCTTTGCAACGAGACCAAAACACTTATCTGTAATTCAGGGACGATATTTAGCCACCTTAGCGGTAGAAATCAATTCGACGCGCCGTGTCAGGGGCTTTGTATTTTAGACTTCAAAGTACACAATGTAATCACTGAAAGCTTTCGAATTACTTTTCGTGACTAGGCAGCGTGTGTTTTTACGTGCACACACACTACAAACATTACTGTGTAATAGGTTGCGGCCTAACAAGTCCCCTATCGAATATCCGTTTCATTTAACTCCATTTCTAAAGCCAATGAAAGCGGAATAGATTATGTGCGCGTCCAAACCAATACGCATCCTCTTGCTCGACCTCAAAAAATCAAACCAAGTTCGTCAAAACACTCTTTTTTCTCCTGTGATCGTAAAAAGCTCTTAAACGGAAAACAATTGGCAAAGCCGTGATTTTGATCGATAAGCATCGGTTTACTATTTGTAGTAACATACACCTATTGTTCTTAGAGTTGCTTTCAGTGCACCCCGCGAGGACAACAGTTCGTTCCTTTAAAAGTCCCATTTCGAGGGAATCATAAAGTCCTAGGCACCGATCTGCGAGCTTAAAACGGCAATTTTCTTTGCACGAGCGGGGAAAAAGTAATATTCCGTTATCGCACCGTTTATATTCGTCCGCCAACATCTGCGTTAATAATACTGTGACACTTTATAACGGTGAAACAACGCACAGGAAATGTTACGAAGAAACTGCGAACAAAATCGTTTGTCAAAGGGTCAAGTAGACCTAGGAACTAAAAATATTTTACCCTAAAGGGAAATGTGAAGGTTTTTCTTACCTACGATTTTCTCCTCGCATCTTGCGGGTTTCGTGCCATCTTGAGTTTCTTCTTCAATGCGACGTGCTTTCTTGTTCTTCACCAAAAATGACTTGGGCATCTTCAACACTGCGCGGAGATCGCGTCGTTCAACTTCAAACCACTGAAGCCACTTCTTTTAACTTCTATTTAAAGCTGGCTCAGATATAACGGGGCAGAAACTGTAAAAGCGAATCGCTAGACAGAGGAAAAACACGCTTGACACTCCGCGTGTTTAGGAAACGGTTTGCCAGAGCCCGTTTAACCGCAGCGCGCTTTGCCAGCTCTGTCGTTGGTTGCCCGTCGTTGGCTGCGAGAGAACCGTTACGTTGTTTGCAAGCTTATTCTCTTTCCCAAGCGCGGGTGTGATCATCTGATATATTGTTACGCTCCAAACAATGTTAATTAATTTATAATGTACAGCACCTATCAATCATCCGATGGCCCAACGTTGAGTCAGAAACACAGTTTAACAATAGAAAAATCAAAAAACAACAAACATTAACAAAGAAAAGAATCACGTTTAATTTACGCTGAACCCCCCAATTAAAATTTTCCTTCATCCTGCGGATTTGAGAAAAGTCATTTGCGTGTCCAAACCGCGTTGAAACAAAACACTTTTGCCGTTGTATTCGTCAGGATATCCCACGCATGATATTTTTTACCACTTTCGATGTTTCGGACTCGCAAGTTGTGTTAGAGGAGGAGCTAAAATGCGAAAGCCAATTATTTCAGTCAGCAAACAAAACGTAGTAGTATTTTTTCTGATAATGGAATTGTAATTCGTAAACGACAGAGGACCCTGTTAAATCTTTTGTTTCTGCGAGCTTGGGTGTCCATCGAGTCATTACCATTACATTTGCAATGAAAAAATAGCCAGGAGTTTTTCTTTTTTTACTTTTTATGGGTAACACGAAGAATTTTAAATTCACTTAGCACGAACGGCGCAACAAAGGAAACAAGAAGAGATGAAATTTGACTTGGCAGTTGGGATTCATTTACTGTTTGTATTTCATGTTTGTTAGGTTTAATTTTTAAAGGAGAATATGAACAGTGTTTTTAATTCGCGTAAGGCGATTGTCCTGCCCGATTCAAATATGCCTTCATACGAGTGCTAAGGCGCCACTAAAAAGCAATTTATCTTCCCTTAATTCATTTCTGTCTTTGATATCTTTACTGTTCTTAGTAACGGTGGTACCTCTAACAACGCTAACGTAACGGCTAATATCTATTGGCTTGATTTTCTCGAGCAGGAGTTTCATTAAAATGTAAGCGAGAACAAGACGGTTTATGCAAATAGATGCGTCGGGCCTCCTGTTGCTAGCAATATTTAGCAGATTTTAAGATAAAAAAAAAGCCTAAACCACGTCCAGAAAATTTATCTCACTGGCCACTGAAGTTAATTTAATTTTCTCTAAGCATATTACACGATTAAAAACTGATTACTGCAACCATTCACAAGGAATTACACATTTGTAGAAAATGATTGACTTTCACGCTTTCTGCGAGAATATATTACTATGCGGTTTCTGCGCTGTGGAAAATATTCACAATAATAGACGACATAAAAGCAATTTTATTACATTTCGCGAAAAGAAAATGGACGCGCCGGCTTTGACAAATGTTAATTTCTTTAATAACAGCAGGGCTGAAAATTTTACGACCTTTATTTATGCAGTAAAATAAAACGGGAAGTATATATTTTAATTGAAAAAGGGTTTTTTAACGTTTCACTTTTTCAAATTTATTTTGGAGGTACATTCGAAGGTGTTTTTCTGTTTCTTGGGGCAGCAGAGAAAACGGCCCGTTGAATTAAATTCTTATTGTGAAGCAGGAGGTTTCCAAGCAAGAACAAGTGATTCCATGGAAGGCCCCCATGGTGAAAAAATAACCACACATCTTGAAACAAAGAAAATGGGGAAACAATCAAAATAACAAAATATAGCATGCTCATTTTGGAATAATAGACACAGGGTAATTCGGCTACGTTTTTAAAGACTAAATGTTTTTCTATTCTTTAGCAGTCGCGTCATGCAGTGATTGTTGTCAATACCAAGAAAGGACTAAAAGATTTCTAAATGAATGTTTTCCTTACGGCAACCGGTACAACCGTTTTATAACAAACAAAAGCTTTGGGTTTGAACGAGACCCAGCATTAATAATTTTAGAAACACTGAATGTTATGCGATAAAAAATTCAATAGCTTAATTTCTAGAGGCGTGGCGTAAAATTTGGAGTAAGCCAAATGTTTATGTTTTTTTCAAAACACGAAGGTTTTCTGTCTCACTGGTGTAGCTTTATTACCGACAAATTATTTAGTCTCCACGATGTCATTATACCTCTCGCTTCCAGCTGAATGAAAAGATCTCAAGGCGTTTTTTAATTTTGCGGCTGGATTCATTTCAATTATTCTGAGACTCATGCCAAATTTGCTTCGGCACGCTCTCTATAAAGCAACTGAATATTTAATTCAATGGATTGAGAATAAAAACTCTTCAAATCGATTCAGTGACGACAGAAAATGCCAAATAATAAAACAAATAGACCTAGATATAAAGAATAACATAGAGTTCGTGTTAGCTTTGTATGATATCAGCATCATACGAACCACTAGAAAAAAATCCACATGCCTAATACCAACAATTTCCCCTGCGAAACTACAAGCAAACCAATACAAAACTAATCACAAGATATATTACCCATTTAATTTGCTCAGTGCGATTCAAGAAAGACCGCCGACAAGCGAAAATAACTTCACATGTTAATAGAGAATGAGTTAAGCAAGAAATATGTTGAATTTTCCCACAGGCGAAAAAATAAAAAATAAAAAATAGCGCGCTCGGATCTTTACAATTGTAAGAAATTTCGAGATCAGAAGCATAACGCTTTTGATCAAGATATATATAAATATAAATATATTTTGGATTTGCTCACACAGTGCAAACAGTGCAGCCAATAATACAGAGTTAGTTGATACAGGTTCTTCTTAACTAAACCAGGATGTCGTCCGATGTATATGCTTAAGATGGCAGCTGCAAATATTAGCTACTTACTTCACGACTAGCAGCTTGGTTTAATGGTGTATTGAATAGATGTAAACAAGCTTTAGACATCCGCTCGCGTGTTAAAGTCATATTATTCGCGTTTTCCTCGCGTGAGCTGGGTAAAACGCGTTGACAATTATGATGAGGGCTGTCAGATTTTTGCGATAACCAATGTTTAGCTATTTCGCCGCCTTGTCAACGAAAAGACCCTCATGTTCTTCACAATGCACGCAAGTATAACTGCTATAATAATGTCAGATCCAAAATTTCAGGCAAAAAGGCTTTTAAACTTCAGCACAAATTATAAGAGAAACTGCGACTAATTTTTCTGGTAAGACACGAAAATAAAATCGAAAATGCATTCACTTTTTTCAGTTAGCGTGCACTTTCCTAGCGCTGTAACATGAGACTAGTTCTCAAACGAGAAGTAAACGGAAAAACCCGACCTTGCTAAATAGAACAGTTTAAGTGGCTGTTTTTACAACGAGGAACAAAGACTACAAACACGCGCGCGATGCGTTAAAATGTCGCCTAAATAGTCGTCGCGTAAAGTGTTAAACGGTGCTTTTTCAAGGCCGTAATCTTCGACCTTTACTGCGGTCTCCACATTTCTCAACAAAGGCTTTCTTTTAACGGTTTTTGGATGCTTTTAACCTTCTAACTGTAATCTCTCTTTGGTAATCTTATTTAAGGTCAAGATGGTTCGAGCGCTAAAAATTCCGCATTGATAAGAGCGTCTAAGAAAACAACGTAACTCAACTTGAAACATCTGAAAAACAAAGCGGGAAGAAAAAGCAACTGTTTGCAATGACAATTTACTTCGAATCCATATTTTTAAAAACGCTATTTCTCCACCTGATTAGTGTAATAAGGATATGGAATTTCCCCCTCAAAGTCTGTCAAAGACCGCAACGAAACTTGCAATCATCCGTATCAATCAACAAAGTCGCTGAGTACCGAAACCGACAAATGTTTTTATGTCGAAAAAAACGAGAGAAAAGCTAAGCCCCACCTTTTGTTGACATAAAAAGGGTGTAATACAACTTAAGCATAGAGAAATATTTTTTGGTATGTTAAGGGGCGAAAATACCAATAAAATGTATTTTTTAACCATTCGACTCCCCAGGAAAAATAAAAATCTCACTGATCCTGTGAAATAATGGGAAATTAATAGTACCATATAGTAAGTATAGAAAACTACTACTTTTATCAAATGGGCAGTATTTAGATTTTCAACCTCCTTAATAAAAGTCGAACCTACGTACTCAACAGGACTCAGAGTGGAAGTTAAATCGTTCAGGAGGACAAAAATCTACATTACTACCCAAAACATATTCTGCGTAATTTTCAGATTAAAAATTAGAAAACATTTTATTGCCCCGAGCGCCAAATCGGCTTTAAACATCATATATCTGATTATTATCGCAAAAATAGCCCAACCCGATATTTCTTGATCGCAGAAAAGAGAACTTCCCAAATTCACGAACCTACAGTATTATTTTTACAATGGGAAAAGCATAAGAAAAATTAAGACGATGATGTCGTCAGTTTTCGTAAGTTTCATTTGGCTTGCCTTGTAGTTTTTATCTTCCCTATCTAAACACAGCTGTCTGCTTTTTTTATATATGAATTTTCGCCTCAAAAAATTGTTCAAGCAAGATTTTTTCCAGTTTAATTTTCAACGCAGTACTGAGTTATTCAAATCAGTTTAATATGTAACAGCTTTCTTATGATGCAGAGTTTCGCAGTCTTTCCGACCCAAACACGAAACCGACATTTAAGATGAAAGCCACTAAGCAGTCCCTCTCAACGTAATGTTGTACAGCATGTACAAGGTGGTCCGGCCGGCTTATGCAGTCTGCGTGAGGCGGGCCGAGCGCGGAAACAGTGGCTTTATATATAACACGCCGGGCCTCTGAAGGCGGTCTATGGAACAATACAAAAAAAATAACTTTTTCGTCCTGCATATGTTATGTTGTACAAGACAAGTTCATCACTCTAAATTTTTACTGAAAAGTAACGAGTTAAAGATAAGGCATTTTGAATAAAAGCCAGTGAGCAAAAGCTTTTGCGATGGAGGTACAGTACATTTATCTATCATTTTATGTATTATGCACATTGTATTTTTTAACGTTTTTGGATGAAATTTACTGAAATAGGAGCAGTGTCTCTTTTTGCCGTGGGTTGCTAATTACAATGTTCAAGGTGCTCGAATGGCTACGAATGAAAACCTTAACCTGAACATTCAAAGCACAATTTTTTCAGTGGCACTGTTTATTTCTAACACTTTAAAACTACGTTCCTCACTGTTTTTCTAGCTCTTAATGCCTGCTGGTGGGATAATTCACCACAATGTAATTAAAGTGATCCTAAAATTTGGAGTCTGTGCCGGAAAATCGCATCAAATGTTTAAACAATGGCTTTCCCCTACTACCTGCGAATACAGCCGTCTCTCCTCTGAGCGGCCAGAAACAGGGAGAGGCGAAACGTCCTTAGCGGTGAGGAGCAAGGAGAGGCGGCTGTATTCGCAGCCTATTCCATAACCAAATGTTTAATATTAAAGCCATGACAATATTGGAACTCAGTGAACTCCGTGACTGGCCTGAAGGGAAAACACATTTTCTGGGCAAAAATCTACTTAAATAATATAACAAAGGATGTGTGATATTCTCGACTCTATAATGCATTATTCAATTACCACCATAAACCGAGTTATAATCATTCCCAGAATTGAGTATTCTAAATAATGGAAGAGAGTTTGAGAATAAAGTATTTCTTTTTTTTGTAAGGTGATAAAAATATAGAAATTCTTTGACGCTAAAGAAAGCTATGACGTAAAAAAATTTATAAGCGTTTTGAAAGCACATTGAAGAAATAAGCCATCCCATTGAAGTTTATTTTTTTTAATCTTCTAATATATAAATCTGAATTCCCGATAATTCTGTATAAAGTAAGCCCATGATAAAAAGTTAAGTTTTACTAACATATTCTAGGAAGTCAACAGTACTGCCATTTAATTAGGAGCGCCCCAGTCTAATCACGTTTCTTTCCTGACATTTACAAATTCCGATTAAATAAAATTCACCGCGGAAGTGGATATAAATGGCACCATATTTTAGGAACTACAAATTAATAGCTGAAGATTGCAGTAAATGACATTAAGGCGAAGATTTCGCGTGTTTCAGTTACAGGAAGTAACCCGAGTAGCAGAGGTGATAACGTTCGGCCATTTTGTTAACAGTCCACGCACACGTCGCTGGGATATTTAATCTATAAGCTGTTGCAGAGATTAAGGAAACCCCTAACAGTGAGATACGGGTGATTGTTTCCTGATAAGCAAGAAGATAAGGCCGGCAAGTTGTACTACATTTATCGGCAAAGGGTCGTTAAAAATGGCGAGACTTGCGCGATATTCTTAATTTAAAAGCAAAGCAAAAGACGAGACTAGAATCATGATAGTAAATGACAGGAGATTTGAAAACGAGGAAGAAGAAAGATAAATGGATTGCGTGAGATGTCGTAGCATGGCAGAGATCGTTGCCATTTTGTGGGCTATTAACACACCCGGCCTGATGGTCTCGCCATTGTGTCGTGATCCTGAATAATAGTTTAACTTTTCAAAAACACGAAATAAAACATTTGTTGACAAGAGTGGGATGTGTTGGAGATTAGGTTACAGGCAAACTCTGATAACTGAAACTTATTGTTACTGCTGACAGACAGTTTTTTCTCTTCTTTTTCTTAATAGCATCAAATTATAAAAGATCACAATTTACGATTCCACCCACAGTTAGAAGACAAAACCACACTCAGAAGCATCAGAATAAAAAGCAATGCTCAAAAACCTTTTACTTGGCTGTTTACAGTTTAGTATTTCACTAGTACAGTGCACAGCTTTTAATAGCCACCTTCAACTGCAGCATAATAAACAAAATACCCTCAGAATCGCTGAGAGTGGCTCTGCTACAAAAAAAAATATCCAAGGTCACTTCGGTTGATGATCAGACGGTCATTACATTAAAATGACATAAAGCAAAATTACAAAACAGCAGCTTTTACATTAATGCTATTAAAATGCATTTTTCTTTGTATTTCAGTCGTTTTACGGTTTCATCTCGACTAAACATACCAAACACTGAACACAGCAAAACAACGGAAACAAACGGTAGCTTTTATTAGGCTGCCATTAAACGTTTTAGAATTTCATCCATCAACTTAACTTTCAGAACCATCTTGTACAGTACAATAAACTGAACGATGTCAAAAGGAAGTACCACTTAGAAAGCTTTCAATTAAATGATCACGTTGCATGCATCCAAACTAGAGAGGACCACCTTGTAACATTGTCTTGTATACAACACTAAGAAGGAACAGCCAAGCGAGAAAGGACTGTTTAATACAGATTCTTTTTGAATGATCACAATTTAAGGCTGACAGACTTTTCACATAAAAGAAATGTTGAAACATAACCCAGTGCATTAAAAGGCCTTAAGGAAAAATACTGCTAAGCCTGAAGCTTTTGCTTAAAAGTGAAGTCAGATTAAGTTAGACTTGTCCACAACGTGACTTTTTCGAGCAACGAAGTCGGGAGAAGTACGGATAATCCAGGCAAAACAGACGTTTAGAAAGTCTAAGTTCTCAGAATTATAGGCATAACTCAAAATCAGACAGGGAGACATCACACTATAGTTAGATAAAATCTCTTGCCCGAGAGTGCGGCATGCGCGGATAGACTAAAGACACCTTGGGTTTCTTTGAAGACTTCTCTTAAATTCAGGTTACCAGTCCCTAACGTGAATCTCACCGGAGAGAGAGAAAGGTCTTGAGTGAATTAAGACCTTCAACTGACAATTCAGAATCGCATTCGAAAGTAGCACTGTGCTAGAATCGCTACGGCTCACCGGAAGTTTTAAGAAAATACATTACCATACCAGCATGCATGTGCGTGTCTTGGGTGCAAACGATTTGTAATTAATTGCAAGTTAAGTAGGTGATCTTTCTTAACTATAGACTTATCGCTGGGTTATAAATATTTCTACTATGCCCTGACGACGATGCGGTAGCTATCATGAGTTTATTATTATTATTTTTAGTGCGAAATCCCTCTCACTGTAACACGCGCGCGTATATATGGTATATATGATATAAAATAGAATACATTTTCCGACGAGGTAATAAGTTCAGGCATTGGCTTACCTTCACCGGACAGTAGGGAACAAAGACAGATTTTCTGCATAGTAGCATCGTGGTTCGAGCCTTGATTGAGCTTAAATTCACTTCTTATGCGTTGCTCGACGCGACAAATTAAGGATTTTTTTGACGTTTTTTTTGTTTTTGCTTCAGTTGCCTTACAGAGCCTTTGCTTCCGGTAAAAAATGATAAATTAAGGTATAGCAGTAAAGATTATAGATATTATCATTTTTTTTAATGAAAGCTTATAAATTAAGAATGATATATATGTCCTGTGTTAAACGTCGTCTAAATTAAAACTTAACACAGTTCATGGTACGACATGTTAAAGATCTATATTCAAAAATTTGATGACATTTTATTCTCTCTATAGAAAAGACCGATAGATTCGACTATCAAGGGGAACTGAATGAGAAAACCGACCGCTTATTTGAATAAAGTTCGGTTAAACAGCTCCTTTCCAATCCAAGCTTTATGCTCTCCTGATCAGACCTATTAATTCTCGTTACTCCTCGTTCAGTTGTCGGGAAATCTTCGCCTCACAACCCCCACGATAACATGACGGTTCTCCTTTGTGCGCACATACCGTTGACAGTGAGTCTACTCTTTGAGTACGAATGTTTCATGTGTTAATTTTAACCCACACTATGAAGGAACAATTATGTATGGCTGAAATGGAACAAGGGCACCTTTGTCATGACAAACCATAATCCACTTGGGCCGCACAAAAGCTAAGGAAGCGTTTTCGTTCAGGGCCTGGGAAAGAGAAAACGATAATAAAACCATTCAGTACAGTCTCAAACCAAAGACCAAGTTAAAGCCGCCTTACAAAGGGGCAGTCAGTCCGTGGATGGATAGAAAAGTGAGTAAACAAACGAGTTTTTTTTTCTCATAGTATTTTATAACCTATTACATGTATTATCTAGGTGGTTATATCTGTGCCGTATGACGCAATCTTTATGCATCTACAGAGTGGACTCGGGTCTGATCGTTGGTCCGATCAAAGAAATTAACCCATGCACTGTAATCCAGACTAGCAAAACGCCTTGGCTTCGAAGAACATTTCATTTCATTTTTCTTGGTTAATCCAAATTTATAATTTTATTTTCTCACTGCCCACAAATAGCAAAGGCTATAGTCTCTACGCACTCCAATTTGTATTCAATTCACAAGTAAACAAAAGTAAATTTTCGTTGTGAATTCTCTCGTGAACTCTTTGCGTTCTATAAGCTTGTTAATCCGCCTTTGGCCCAATTTACCCGTGATAGTGCGCAAAAAAAAATTGTCTGGAACAAAGGAGATGGTTGCAAAAAAAGTCGCATTTAATCTCAAGTTACTTTATGCTCTTTATGCAATCAGTCCCTGGAATCGACTTCGGCCAAAAAAAAAACGTAAAAGGAGCTAAGGGCAGTGGGTAGGTGGAGGGAATTTAGAGGACATACCAACTTAAAGTGTCATCGCAGTACTGTTTCGTCTTTTATCGCAAGTTATCGTGAAGTGTATCACAGACTTCTAACTCACCTCATCAAAATTTCTATCCCAATTTTCGTTGGTAATAACAAAGTCCACATTATCACTCATGTACTCTTCGACAATTCTGACAAAAAAAATAAGACTGAGAAAAAGGAAAAGGAAAAGACGAAGACTGCGAACTAAAACAGCCCCAGTATTTTCAAATGACGAAAACTACTAGTTATCAAGTTGATGAACAAGTGTGGCCTGAACAAGGGCGAAATCTGAATGTTACGGTCTCTCTCTAAGGTCATTAAACTTCAGCCGGATCGCAGTAATAGTTGATCACGCCGGGGCATGTAAAAAGCGTAAAAGGGACCCAAGGCGCTCATGTATATATGACACATTTTAGAACAACGATTTAGGACCAAAAGCCACCATAAACATGAATGATTCTAAAGGTTAAAATATTTACTTTAACTTTTCGTCTTTCCCGCTAGGGATAATATAGAGACCTTTCAATTCGAGGACGAAAGGGGGCGTCTGTACACAGGCTGAGACAAATACGAGGAGGAGATTAGACTGCAAGCTTTCTTCCCGTATCATAAAAAATAGACACCCTGAAAAGTTTTATTTTACTTTTTATACCAGAAAAGGTAGCACGGTTACTTTTTATTGAAGGAGTTTGAGCCCTTTTCCTAATGCAAAATGAAAAACCTCTATGATTTGCCAAATTCTTTCAGTCGCAACCTCATTCGCGCTAAAAGCCGCAGTAGAATGACGACAGCTATCGCGTTTTCTCGCCAAAATAGTGAGTTTACGCAACAGGACGGCAGAAAAAACAGGACGGCAAAACGCTTGAGCGTGACAAACGTGACAGCGTTGTTCCTTGCGTGTTTTGTCGGGAATTCACTTAACACTGATGTTTTTTGGTCTTCTACAAAACTATCTGTTTAAACGAATGTGAAGTTTGGCGGAAGGTTTTTTCAAACAAAATTATTGTCACGCTTGTCACACAAGGTTCGCCGTCGTCATTCCTCTCCCGTCCTGTTGCGTAAGTTCACTAATGACGCTGGATCACGACAGCGCACTATTTAGAATTGAGAAAACCCGGAAGCATATATGTAACCCAGAAAATCTCGTCCTCGTCTTGACTTAGAATCTAAAAGACTTTAATAAAAGTTAGTGACTTGCTTTTAAAAGAGTTTAAGTGTACTGACAGGTATCACTGCGATCTCTCAGCTCTCACTGTTCAATAACCTGCGTAGCAAGCGTTTCCAATCGAGTTATTGCGCGAAAGTTAGAGCGGAAGCGAAAAAAAGAAATTTTGCCCGACTTTCTCGACGAACTCGCGCGGAAACGCTTGCTACGCAGGCTAACTGTTCAAGGAAATTTAAACTTAGCCTGAGTATCAGGCGTTTCTGGGGAAAAGGGGAAAGATGGAAGCGAAAAAGGGAGAGAGCCTCCATCTAAAATCTCCTCTCCCCTAGCCCCTTAGTAAGGCCTGATCCTCAGGCTAATTTAAACTGTATTTGTTTCCTGCCAAGAAAGGACAAGGTTACGGTAGTGATAACTAGTGAGCTGACTCACCGAGCCTGCAGGCCTGTTCATTGTGTTAATGTGTGGCTTAAGTCGAGTATTTAAAAGAATAATAAGTCTTATTTACCCATTATATGCTGTGATGTATCTTATCAACAGTCTCCTGGTCGTACTTTCAATTTCACCGTACAACATAAAATGTTTGTGAGAAAAGAAGTCTGGTAACTCAGGGAAGTCTTCTGAGCCCGAGGTAACATCGTCAGCGGATTCTGCTCCATCTATATAACAAAAAAAACAACAGGCGAGTTTGAATGAGGATCACTTAACAGATCTGGATACAACGGTATTTAAATGCCCTATTCACATGAAGGTGTCCCGCTCCCAAAGTCTTTCACCGTCAAGTAGGCAACCTTTAAACCTTAATATAATCACCATCATTTGTTCGAAAGTGTGGTCAATATTCTTAAAACTCGCTATTACCAAATCTTTGGATCAAAGAAATTAGAATCGTTTCTCCCTAATTTGCTGAGGTGCTTAAAGGGAGAATAGCTCCTTCTTAAGCATCAGTACCTTTCTTTGTCGTCTCCTCTTGCTCGTCGTCGGTTGTTCCACCGTAAATATCATCTTCGTCGTCTTTATCTTCTCCTTGAACTCTACAAAAACAAGACAATAAGTAAACTTTTCAGTTGAGCTATCAAAATGGTTCATCGACTTCAACGCACATGTTTTGGTACGTCAAAAAGGCCATTGCACACAGTGCTTCCACGTAAGACATCCCTTTGGGGAGCTATCAAAATTATGAAACTTTAGGGACTAGGG